GTGCCAAATACGTGTGTAACAGTTGTGTTATATGAAGGGCATCCAGTAACTTGTAAGAGAAACTGATAACTGAAGATCATGGAACGCCGCTAAACTTTTGTAGCATTCTTTCGGAATGTAAAAAAAAAAAAAAAAAAAAAAAAAAAAAATGCAGGGACTGATTTTAATTATTAATTGACATCTGCGAGGTTGAAAAGTAGAGCTGGGTCAAGGGTAAAGTAAGTGACGCACTTAGCCTCAGGTGAACAAATAGAAGTAGCGCCATATTTTGTATTAAAATTTAGAAATTCATTAAAAAAATTAAATGCAGTTTAAATTTTCTATTTTGTAATCCACCAAAGAATATAAAAATAATTTTATGTTATAAACAAAACACCTGAATTGAAAGCGTAATTAGAATTAACAACATTAATTTATTCTCGAATTAGGGGAGGCTTTACATTAGTGCACATATTATATTTTAACATTAAAATTTATTATTGGAAGCATCATATTGAAGTTGCTTTATATTTGTTGTAACGAGCTGCATAGACTAAAACTTCCATACAATACTTCATACTGCCGACATTAGTATTTCGCTATGCTGTCTTCCATCCATTGCACTATTCCTACTTCTCCACAACTAGCTTTTCAAAAAAAGCCCATTAACTGAACACAGACGTGACGCAATTATCGACAGTTTTTCGAAGCATATATTGCATCAAGGCGTATAAGAAAAACATCGGGAGAGTGAGCGAGTGTTTGAGGTTTGTCTTTTAGTATTCATATTCAGTATGCGGGGGAAATATAAATATGGTTTCATTTATGGTTATTTTTGAAGCAGACGCATTTTACCAAACAGATTAAAAGAATCGGTACATTAGTTTATCTCACTATTTGCCAACTGGAATGTAATATGTAAGGTAAGGTATATCTTCGTTTGTTTTTAGTCATTCTGTTATTTATAGTGAAACGATAAATTAATTCTTTTTTAGTTCCAAAGAAATAAAAGAAGGAGATTTTAAATTTTGCGGAAGATTTAAATCAAACTGTTCTGGCTAATTCTAATATTTTGATACAAAATAACGTATTTTTAAAATGTCTAGTTTTATTCTTTGATTCTAAGGTAATCGACATAAAATATATTTAAAAGATATGTCTTTCACTAAAGAAAATTTTCACAACTTCGGACAGAAAGAAGCAAATGAACGTGGTAAATTGTTGATTCAAGATTTAAAAAAAAAAAAAAACTTCAAAATCAGTTACACCATATGTGGCCAACTTATTCATTGCAGCGAATTAAAATTAATAGCAGACTTTTATCATACTTGCGAAATTTAACAAATTGAAATCCACTGAGATAACTGATGACGCTGGAATCATTAAATCTTGTTAATTTAAAATTGTTCTTATGATACGGGTGTTAACTCGTTAATTTGAAAATTGTACTTAGGTTCAGTAGAGCTATTGTATTTAAAATATAACTGTAAAGATATCATTGTTTCTACAAGAATTCCTAACAGCGATGGAAATACGTTTGGACAGTTTTAGAATATCAAAATGTTTTCAGAGTGAAAATTACGGTCAATTTGCATCAGTATGATAATATACCTAGGATTATTAAAATAAATTAAGAATTGTTGGGGTTTATTATATATTTGCCATTTAAAAAAAAAGGATATTTTTCAGTGGTTTTTCATTTCAAAATTTTAAATCATTATATGTTTTATTTTTCGGAATGTATAAAGCCATGATTAAATATTGGTGTAAAAATTATGGCATCATAATTTAAAATAATTACTTTTAATGAATATAAAAGTGCGCAGATGTAATTAATTTGTATCGTATGTACAAATATATACAGGAAAGAATCCGATTGCAAAATTTAACATTTTTCATAATTACAACCAGGAAATTATTATTAATATGTCATTGTAAAAAAATGTTAAACGTTTAGTTTGTAACATTGTCTTTTTGCAGTCGGTGGCAGCGCTGCTGTCATTTTAAGCTATTTTTGAAATTTTGAAAAGAAGTGGAAATGGCGATAAGCAGGAGAAGGCTTTTGTGTGCTCTCCTTTGCAAGCAGTCAGTCAGTAATCACTATTCAGCATGAATTTAGGAGAAAGTACCACATAAATAAAGCACCGACATCAGAGTATCAGAAGCATTCCAAGAAACTGGATGTCTGTGTAAAGGCAAAAGCCCAGGGCAACTAGGTGTTTCAGCAGACAATGTTGAAACAGTGCAAAAGATCTTTTTACGCAATCCGAAAAATCGACGATTGGTGTTAGTCGTGAACTTGAGATTCCTCAGTCTGCCATTTGGACTGTGTTGAGAAAAAAATTGCATTAATGCATTTAAAAATTGCATTTTTACAAACTGCAAAGCATGGAATCACTGAAGCATAGTGACGAGTTACAACGTCTTAACTACTGCCTTTTCATGGATGAAGCTATGTAAGACAAGATAATTTGTGCAATCAACTGGAATTTAACGATAAAGCTCCTTTTCATTTAAGTGGCAAAGTAAATCGCCATAACGTGCTAATTTAAAAATTGGAAAATCTTCAAATCTCATTGACACGTAAGGGACTCCCCAAAAGTAAACGCCTTTTGCGCAGTATCTTCATCAAAGGTTTATGTACCGTTCTGTTTTGCCGAAAAATCAGTGAGTGGTATTACTACCTCAATATGTTGGAAACTTGGCTTTTCTTGCAGTTGAAGGAGGATATGCTAAATTTCATTTTTCAACAAACTGGTGCACCGCCCCATTGGCATTTGGGGTTCGTAAATTTCTAAACAGAGAACTACCACACCATTGGATTGGTTGCAGTGCAGCTGATGATTTGGTCACACATAGCTACCCTCCTAGATCACCTGACTTATGTGCCACCTTTGCCTACAAGTTTGCCCGAACTTAAACAACGCATTTGTGATGCTTTGCAAACAGTTAATGGTAAAACATTGCAACGTGTTTGGCAAGAAATGGCATATTTCATTGATATTATACGAGTGACTAAAGGAAGTCATATTGAACACTTGTGAAAAAAAATTAACATTTTCCCTTTACAATCACCATATATTAATCGGATGATTCTTTTCTGATAACCTATGTATTGATTACTTTAAAATTAGAATCAAACAGGCAAAAATAAACAAGTTGAAAAAAATTAACATAAATTTCATAAAAACTTCTTAAGTTAAAATATGGCACTGTTTATTGAAATTGGTGTTAAACTATTCAGGAAAAAATAAAAATGGAAAAATAAATACAAAATGGAAAAAGCTGTATATATTTATGTGCGTGTGTGTATATATATAGATGTATTTTATGTTTGAATACCCATACACACACATATATATATAGATTAGAAGTAAGAAAAATAATTAACAAATAATGATTATTATTAATACTATTGTTTTGGATGGAAAGGGTAAATGTCTAGATTTATATAGAAAGTTAAGAGGTTATTGAGAGTTAATATTTTGATTTACATATTTTTTTACCTTTCATATATCCCCACACACATATGTGTGTGCAGTAACAATGCAGATTAATGCAAATACGTATAATTATGCATGTTTTAAAAGATTATTTAGTATTTATAACATAAACATACATTTCGTTTTCTCTCCACCCATCCACAAATACAGGACACCTTACAATATATACATTGGACGCACATTTTCGCTTTGCCTCAGGTGAAAAAAGTACATTGACGCAGCTCTGCGGAGAAGGGTTGTTAATCAGAAATGTTTAAGAATATCTAAATCTAAACTGTATTATTCGGCGGTTCAGTTCTTGACGAAAAGAAGGCATAAATCCGGCAAATAATCATTAATATTTCATTCTACCTATAATACACTTTTCTTCCTAAACCTTTTCAGAAGGAAAGCTGCCATCTTTAGGCAATGAACAGCATCTCTGAAAATAATCATAGACGAGAGGCTCTCAAAACCAGGGAAGAATTCCCTTCTGGGAAGGAATTTCATAGTGTTTTTTTTTTTTTTTTTTTTTGGAGGGGGGGGATACGATCAGTTTTTTTATTTAGCTGTTACGTATTTAATTTTCATTTATGAATATATAAAACTACTTTTATTCAAGTTTTGATATTTATCGATATTTTCTGCTGGGAAAAATGCTGTTTAGTTTATAAAACACTCTGAAAAATCATCTAAATCAGATAAACATGTATATTAATATTTCGAGTTTTGGAAAGGAGGAGGGGATAATCTTCTAGCAGTGGTGAGAGGGGAGAAGAAAAGGTTGAGAATCCGTGCTCTAGGCGAAACAACACGGGAGCAACGAAGAAATGTGAAAGAATGTCGATAACGGCAAACTGGCTTATGGAAGTTTCTCAGATACCGACGGAAAAGATGCATTATTGCTGAGTTAAGAGAAAAACTGTTAATAGGTGGCAGATGGGTATCTAGAATGTTCATGACAGAAGTGAAGAAATACAGGTTTATTTATTCAGGCTAAAATAGAATACATGCTTTATTCATAGGCGTTAATCACAGAATACATGCCTATGAAGATAATTTTCATTCTCAGTTAGTAATAGGGAAAAAAAAAAGAGGATTCACCAGTGCAGTTGGAAAACGAAAGGAGAGAGCATGCGTTATTTCCATGTTCATAACCGAAGTTTTAAATTTCTTATTTCGATTATACTTTTTATTTCTTATTCTTCAGTGTCATTCAATTTTTATTTATTGTATTTTATTGGAGCGGCCCAGGAGCCCTTGAAAATTTCGCGCGGAGAAATTGGGATACACCGGCATAGGCGAATAAACTTAACTTCACTCCATTAATATATAATGTACCACAAGAAGATTTTATGTTATTAAATTTCAAGTATTTTATTTATAGTGTTTGTATGAAGTTCTGTCTAGATAATGATGTATATTTATGATATTTATATTCAGCGTTTTTGAAATTCATTGCGTAGGACGAGCAATATTTTGCTACACTTAAAAGTGAATACTGAGTGTTTTATAAGTTACGTGTTTATTTGTTTACAGCAGGGAGCCAGTATAGCCATTGTGGATGACTTGGCTTACCATACAGCAAGAGACAGCAGCTCGATGACTAACGCATCAGAAGATGAAGGCCTGTTTTTGGATAACGACTTTCCTCCATCTGAAACTACATTATATCACAACAGAAGAGCCAGAGACCCTCAAATCATATGGCTTAGACCTCATGTACGTTTCTGCGGTCTATAGTTATCTTCAGATTTCTGCTTCATTATGATAGGATTAGGTATTCAAAATGAGTGCTTTAAATACTTTGTTTTAACTTGTAAATATATTTCAGCTAGAAAGATTTTATTTTATTTAGGCCATATTAGAGAGATTAATCTTTCTTAGGTAAATAATAACATAAAACTCAGCAATTTACTTTAAATAGCAAATCCTTCTGTGTTTAGAATAGCATAGTATTAGTAGAAAGAATCTATAGAAAGCATAGTATCAGCTTTATACAGAAATCTCAACTGTAATGGGGAAAAAAAAATATGCTCTAAGTTTTCTAACCGTACACTTATTTATGCAGACGTATTTTCAATACAGCTCTACCGAGCAAAAGATTTTTAAATTTAACTGCAGGTCACAGTAACTAATTCAGGATTCGTAGCATCAAACTCTGAGATAGAAGCTGTGGCTAATGAAGTGACAATATGATGGTATCTTTTAAAGCTAGTAAAGCATTTAAAAACAAAATAATACCTTCCCAAGTGCAAATTGCCATTAAAACGCAATATGTGTACATAAATAGGCATAACTAGGTGAAGAATCGCAAAACGACTACTCACATTAAAGAGACAGACATTCGGCCCTGTGATTCGTTGTCTTGGTGGTCCAGATTTAAGAATACTATCGACCTGAGAATATGCGAGATCATCATTAATTTTTCTGCCATTCATAAAGTAAGTTTCATTAACAGTTCACTGAGAAATAAAATTTAGTTCCAGAGAGGATTAGATTTTTTTTTGAAGTAGATCTTACTTATATTAATCTTGTACTTCTATGAAACTTATATATTAAAGTTTGATTTAGTACACATTTTTTATCTTAACTTTGGTGTAAACTTTGACATTAAATTTCGCTTCTAAAGATTAATTAAGAATAATTTTATTCCTTGTATCATCATCTCAGATCTCTGTTAAAATAATTTTGATACCCCACCAGTGGCCAAGGGGATTAAAATCGCTGAATGCTGGCCGTTTGACCTAAATTCCATCCCAGGTGAACGAGCTGGCTGCATGGCTTTTTTTGTGCTTTTTCTCATTTGTAACATGAATATGATAGAGTTTCTCTTGAAAAGCCTCTCAGATAAGCATCCCGACCCTTAGACTGATAGGCCTTGCGTGTTTTGACATATCTAAATAACCTTAAAAAAAAGAATATCTTGGATAAATCTCATTTCCTTGAATCCTCATTTCATTCTCTGGATACAACTTCAGGTAATGCACATGCATAATATCCGGCAAGCTGCATCTAAAATACGCATTTCGCTGGCTCTTTACTATCCGGACAAGTCGAAACTTTTGATAAAATTGTGTTCTTTAACACCTTTTTGCATGTGATGGTTTTAGTTACTCTTTGGTATAGCGGCTGGAATACTGATGAAGTGTTCAGTGATTGAAAATATTACCGTATTTGATGGCATATAAGACGCACTGGCATATAAGATGCACCCTTATTTAGAAGGCCACACACATGTAGATGTGGAAAAAGTTATGTGTGTCTAGACCTTTATCCGGGCTAAAAATAGCATTCAGTATTGAAAGTTAACCTGTGTCCTTCCCGTATAAGACGCAGGTAACTTTTTTGAGACCAACTTTAGGAAAAAAAGTGCCGTCAAATACGGTATTTTTTGATAAAACTGAGCTTAGTAGCATCTTTTTGCATGTGATCTTGAAAGCTTTAGTTATTTCTGTTGTTGGGACTTGTCTTACTTGTCTGACAGTAACTTCAGAATAAGTCCAAGAAATTCATCGTGACTAGGAGAGCAAGACAGCCTAGAGCACCATACAGGTGACAGTACTATTCCGCTCAGTTCCATCACCAATTTTGATGGAGAGCAACCCGGGTTACGGGTCCAAGGGTCTCCCACCTCTCTTTCCCTACCACCAACCTCTCGAGAGGAATTTCGGCTCGCATTATATTTAGAGTGCCCCATACCGCAAAGGCACTATACATTTAGAAACATCCAAGCATTCTCCAGGATTCGAACCAGGGCCTTTCGGTACTACAGTAGGCTCCTCTAACCACTATGTCGTGTGGGAGGTTCAGTTATTTCTTCATATAAGAGCTGGAATACTGCTGTAGTTTTCGGTGGTAAAGGGTAATATTTTTAAGCTTTTCATTTTAACTGTGCTTATATAGCAGGGATGGCCAGCCTGCGGCTCGCGAGCCACATGCGGCTCTTTGAAGGATTATTTGTGATTCTCGATAAATGTACCCCAGTTCCCTTTTCATTTTTGTGTTATTATATTTAAAAAAATTATTATCGTTCCGTATGTGTTTCAGAATGTCTTTTAAATTACTGACAACAAATAGGAAAGACTAAGTGCAACGTTGTAACCAATTTCATTTCCGTCAAAGTTAAGAATGATATGACTCATCGAAAACTGCGCGAACGAACATACACAGTAGCGTAACAGTTCTGTTCATCGAATTTTCTTCCCCTTCGACTGCCTCGTGAATTATGAGAAACATATGGGAGTTAAGACCTTGTCAGGCCGATTGCTTCCAAATATCGATACAAAATATTTAAAATATCCTGATGTTATGAAAATAGTGTTACATATTGGAAATTACATTAGCACCAATGCAAAAAATAATTAACAATTCAAAAATTTCTTTGAAGAATTAAAGGACGAAGAAATTCCAAATGACAATAATTTCTTTTCCATTGTTAGATGGTTATCTAACTACATCGCATTAAATCGATATTTAGATTTGTTTGATCCGATAAATGCATTTCTAAAAGAAAAAGAAATAACTTATTCAGAATTAGACGGTGGCGAGTGGTTACAAGACTTAATGTTTTTGACTGATGTCATGGAACATTTAGAAACATTGAATTTACAATTACAGGGAAAAGATAAAATAGTATCTGACCTCTCACAGTGTATATTTAGTTTTCAAACTAAATTACAACTTTTTAAAAAGGACATTAAAAATAAAACATTTTGTCATTTTCCTCAAATTAAAAAAATTTGATCTAATATTAAACAAGAAAAACTCAACGAGTATATAAAAAAGCTAGAAGGAATATTGACGGAATTCCAAAATATATTTCAAGACTTGAAATATTTTAAATCGTCTCTTGATTTTTTTCTGAATTCATTTGAAATTAACATAATTCAAAGTGAGTTTTCCATTTACAATATAATTAAGACCCAAAAAGCATCTGGAGAATTAAAATTAATAGAGATGCAAGAAGATCAAGCTCTACAATTAAAATAGTACAAGTCGACGCCGATTACTGAGTTTTGGAAATTTGCACCAGAATCGAAGTATCCTGAATTAAAAAAGGCTGCTTGTCAAATTATTTCAATATTCGGAACAACGTACTTATGTGAATCATTATATTCCACTTTAAAATTCGTGAAATCCAAACACCGATCAGTATTAACTAATATGCATCTCAAAGAATTGAGAAGTGCTGTCACCAATTATTCACCAAATTTTAGAGAATTATCAAGAGAAGTAAAATAAATGTGTTTAATTTTTAATATTTAAATTCGATACACATATTTTGTACTTTTATTTATATGTTTTCAATAAATACAGTTTCTATAAAAAAATTTTAATACCTTTTTTGCATATCTTTTAAATACGTATTTAATTGCGGCTCGCGAAAAATTTAAAATTTTGAAAAATAGCTCGGACTATCAAGGAACTCGGCTACCCCTGTTATATAGCTTCAACGATGTCCATTAAGAATAAAACATTTTGGCTTTATAAGCCGGTTTTTAAAGTCAACAACTGTTTTGCAACACAACATCATACATAGTCAATCGTTCTTTTCAAAATTACTTTTCATTTTTTAAAGTCATTGCTTGAAATTACTGTAAAAAGGAAAATTAGTAATTAATTTCTTGGAGTATGTAAATGTTTTGGGAATGAAAAATCTGCTCGCAGGTTTTTAAATCCAGTCACACATCAACCATGGATACACTAGTCTAGTTTCTCCGCAAATATATTTAAAAAATGCGTTATGGAACATGCCTTTCGAATTTGGTCTTTATAAATGCTTCGGGAAATTTCATAAATTTTTGTTTCAGGAAACGTCATTAATATTGCTTACTCGTTATGAACAAAACCAATTACAAACAATTTGATCTGTATCACTTTATCAATTTAATCAAATTATAAGGTATTTCTCCCGCCTTCTTAGCATACCTTCGTAGTGTGGTGGTCTGCACGCTTGGCGCGTATTCCAGAGGTCCGTGGTTCGATTCCAGGCAAATGCGTTGCTCATTTTCCCCTTCTTCCTGTTTCACAAATAACCTAATGTCTTTACAAACAAATTAAAGCAATTTAATCAATTCACTCAGTGCTGCTTTTTAAGAAATTCTTCAATCTGTGTCCTTTACAATAATTCTATGTCCTTCAATGTTAATAATTATTTATTTTAATTATTTCTTTCATCTTAGAAATATGTTTAAGTTGCCGACTTTAATTTCATTAAAAATTCATTTCATGACATAAGAACGTAATAAAAAAATCGTATGTAATGACCAATTGAATTAGAAACTCTCATTGGAACATTTTATTTTAAAATTACAACCCAGATTATTAAAGAAATCAGGAACATTTTAAAGTATCCCGGTATGAAGTTTTCTTATACAATGCAGATTATCTGCCTTACTTTTAAGAACCGATGGCTGCCCAAAATTTCTAAAAACCAAACTTCATCAAATCCCTCAAATTTTAACGCTAACCACAAAATGGACTATCCTAAAAACCTCCTCTGAAAAGACCAAAATAACATCTGCCAGAAGCAATTGCAAATTAACTCTTATCTTAAAATCTAAATCTTACTTCGAAACAATTAAAACACTAACCCAATAAAATGTTTTTCGAATTCTTTTGCACAATGAAGGAGCTCGAAAACATCTTCGGAAGCACTAAATTATCCTAATTAATATTTCTTATTAACAACTTGCTGTAATTCTACCTATTACGTAGTTTGCTTACATTTCCGACCCTCCGTCAGTAGAGAGGTAAGAATTGGTTCCTTCGCCCTTCTTCTAAAGCGTCAGTATCTGGAAGGGTGACAACTGCCTAATGGTTACTTAAGCGCTATGTTGCGCGTTTTTTTTAAATTATTTTAATAATAATAAATGTTACTATATCAGTTTATTTATGGAAATATATTATCATAGACATTTAAAATGAAAGCATATTTTAATATAGTATTACATTAGAAATATTAATATAATAACTATTTATTAAATATTTAAGTGCGAAAATGATTAATTGTAAATTGAACATTTTTCTATAAAATAAAAAATAAAAAAATCTAATCTGCAATGTACGCAAAGTGCATTGCAGAATAAAGATTTTAAGTATAAATAACAGCAAAAGCTAATTCTCAAATAGCAGATTTATGCTTGGAACCTCAGTAACATTTCAAGCAGAAGGAATTTCACCGCATGCTGGCTTCGATTCGAAAGTCGCCCGAGGGTAGTCAGGCTGGTTTACATTATGTTTAGGAGAGCTTGCCCTCTTCTCACCTTCATATTCTTTGCAACAAAGATTTTGGATCTGTAGCTTTCCCTTTAACTTTCTATCTTGTATTTGGGATAGGACGAAGACTGAATGTATCGTCGGTAGGAGCATCCTCTGCCGTCTAAAGTTCTGTTTTAGTAGCGCACAATTTTAAAGACGTGAATTCAGATTAGGACTAGAAATTATGTCCTTCTAGGTTATCAAAGCAGCACATAGATTCCACTAATATCTATCTGAACTGATGCCTGGTATCCTAAAGAATTTTGAACGAGCGTTATCGTTGAATAAGTATAATTTAACTATGGATCTTTAAGACATAAAGAAAATCGCTTAGTATTATCTAAATAGTGTAGTACTATTCACCTCATTTGTTTTTCTTCTAGTTTATATGAAATAACTTTACATGAATTAAATACCAGTACATTTAAATAGATAACAAAAGTGGGTGCTGATATCTTATCGAAAAACCTAGAGATTCAGCTGGCGATAATCTAAGACTTTCACTTCGGCTGGAACTAAGTTGACTGCGGCTATGTTCTGGTTTAGAGTAAAATCGTAAAGCTTCATTAAATGAGATCGAACTTCCTCTTCAAAACAATTTCCTGCTCCCATTCTTACGATTGCGTCTGCACTTTTCAATATTGCACACGTTTTCTTGAGTAGAGTATAATTTCGCTGTACGGACACAGGTTCTGTTTTAACACGCGATAAAAAAGATGATAATATATTACAAACATGTCCAAATTAATGTAACATAACTTAGGCTCATCATTCGCCCACTGGATAAGACAGCAAAATAATGACAAATAGACAGTTTGCAATGGATGTTTTCTTGATTTTCTCCTGATTTAATATAAATACCAGCCTGTGTCTCTCACAGATCCTCCACGAAGGTATTCTTACCCTAGGCAGATAGTTTTGAAGTGATTTCACGTATTCAGTTAAACAAACAAAAAGACTTATCAAGAACTCACAAAAATTACGGTCTTGATTGGAACAGGAGGCAAACATTTAATGGTAGTTATTTCCAATTTGTACCCGCATCGAAATCTCCAATTCGAGTAAGACACAAGTACTAAAAATGTTATTTAACAAAGTAATTCATTGATACCTTTATTTTACTCACAGTTTCCGAAAACAACTCAAATTTATAAAGCCATTTATTGAGTGAAAGAAATTATAAAGCATATTTTCAAAGAAATAATGAATAAGTAAAATCGATATATAGACATTCAAAAAGATTTATCGGAAAAAGGGAAATACCATTAGTATTATTTACATTGTCGATATTTCGCTTTTTATTAGTCAGATTAGATCCCTTTAATTAATTGTATTCTATCTTTCCCAGGAACTTACTTTAAGGCCAGAGCTTTTGATTGATGGTGTAAGTCGACATGACATTGTACAAGGAGTTTTAGCTGACTGCTGGTTTCTTTCTTCATGCGCTGCAGTTGCACAAAGGCCAGATCTAATGGAAAAGGTAATCCAAAGTTCTCGTTTGATTTTTAAATAACGTTAAAAATTCCCTCTTGGGGCAGACATAAATATTATTCGAGTTGTTCAGTGAATAAAACAGACTAGCTGAGCTCATGCGAATCATTCGCGAGAAAATTCTCCTGCCTTCGTAATATGGGGTCCACTTCTTCCTCAACAGCACTGTCTTCGTAATATATTTGAAAGAGTATCCTAAACAGTTCCATTCAATATTTTTTAATAACGATTTAGCAGTACACCTATATTATAAAAATTAATAGTATATATTGTAAAATCCTTATTAAAAATGTTTAATGAAATGGTTAAAGGAGAGAAGCATTACACATTTTTGGACTATTTAATGGAATTTAATAAAAGATTTTAACGGACATTAACAGAAGTTTACAGGAAATTGCTAAAATGTTTCCTTTGCATTTAGAAGTTTTTCTTCTCATTTCTACAACAGAAATACTTCAATAAAAATGAATGAAAATAGTGTGAAAAAAAAACTCTGTATTGTTAAAAAAAAGATATCCGCTCATAAAAACATTCAGCTACAAGTACAAACATTGGCGTATCGATGGAGACGATATGCAAATGATTAAAATTTTTGAGTAAAAAGAAAAGAAATAATTATAACAAGAACATAAACATTTGAGTTAATGGTAAATCTTTCTCTGGCAGCTATGCAAGCCATTACTCGGTGGGGCGGAAACTCATTTAAGTTACTTCCCGTAACGAGAAGCTACATTTGTCTTCCCACCATGTCTCAAATGTGTTCTCTTAGTGATAGGTCAAGGCACCTAAACTGTAAGTAAAAGGTCTAAAATCCTCAAAGACATTGGTAAGCTAGTTTATTGGCATGATGACAGGGGAGCTGGCTGCCGAAACCTTGGGTCATTCAAATTCCGGAGACAGTATGAGTGTTTATAAGTGTACAGTGTCTTTGTGGCATGGAAGCACTTACAACACAGCCCTGCCGAAAGTATTCTTAAGATGCCGCTGGGAGGGGAAGATCCCCGGTGCCCCGGGAAATTCTTCTTGGAAACTGGAGCAGAAATAAGCCGATTTACACGGTTACTTTAAAGATGCTCAAGGTCGTAAGCCAACAACAGGTTCAATCGTTGCACTCTTGGCCATATTCACATTACAACAACGCAACTCACGGACGTTTAGTGTATGATATAAAATGTTCTTGTTGGTAAGTGGCACCTGTGATACCATAAGCAATAGAATTCTCTTAGAAAGCCATCGACATGTGTGCCAGCCTTCATATTACCTTGCACCACAACTAGATGATATCATCTGTAACAAGATAACTACGCCAACTGTCACATCAGTTATAATGGCCATGTTCACTCGACAGCTAATACGGAGTCAGAATTCTGACGGCTCTTCTTTCACACACTTACTTGGGCAAAGAATGAAGAGAAATTCGTTACCAAAGGTGGGTACTGAGATTGTTACCAATCTAGATATCTCTGCCAGTTCTGGGAGGTCAGTGGGTCTCAACATCTTGACTGATGTTGATACTTTCCAACTTCTGCTATTCGTCTCCGATATTACAGGATGCATAAAGGATATGAAATGCATCCGAATAGACGATAACATCCGAATAGTCGATGTGGCCATGGCTGTTCTCCTGACTCGATGAGCCTTTCTGACATTGTGTGCATCTGAAGAGACCTGAGCTTCTGCGTCGTCTACAGGTGCTTTCCCTAATCCACTGCAGACCAAATCCAGAAACTATTCTATCATTTCAGCCAAGATGCCAACTGATGAATCTGTTGAACTAAATATCTTCTCCTAGCTTATGATACGGTCTTTCCCAAATCAGACAATTAACATTTGTAGCGCTGTCCAGTACATCTTATAAACATCATTCTTCACAACTTTAAGAACCAAAGAAGAAAATACAGTTAAATTTCTCCATGAAAAAGAACACTCATAGTACTGTTGTCGAAATTCTAATCATAAGTTCTCAAACGACGTTTGCAAGCTGTGTTTCGCGGCTATAGCTCGATTTTTTATGGTTGCATATATATATATATATATATATATAACTGTGTTTTAAAGATTTCTTAAAGATATTTCTTAAAAATAATTTTTGATAATTCTTAAAATTAAGTGAAATTTCTTTAATGGACATTTTAAAACTCTCAAAAGCAAGAGTGTTTGCAGAGCTGAGTAAGTGACCCAAGAAGCAAGGAACTGCGGTTCCTTGGTTTCCAAACAATCATTAAGTGACAAACTTCCTTTACTTTTAAAAGAAGCGTTAAAAGCTATTTTAATCTTCGTAGAATCCCTCTCCTAGAGCACTATTGTGTGATGAGGCATGTAATACCCTGTTTTCACAATTTCATTTCGAATCGATTTCGACTACGTAAGAACGAGCGAACTGTCGGTCGAGCGATATAGCGCAGACTAGCGTGGATGAGGCACACGCGAATAACGCACCAGTTGAGCGAAAGCAAGCCAGTCACAGCTTGTCCATCAGTGAGCATAGTAGTGAATGCCTAGCGTGCCGATAAGTCTCCCGCGAGCTATGAGAGCATCTACTTGTATCTTTAACCAGCCGAAGATCTCAGAGGTACTTTTGGCATCAGCATAATAAGTTGTTGTAACATTGCGTTAGTGCTTTTATTGTTATGAAACGAAGGCTGTTTTTAGGTGCCACCTATTTGACATGGCTACAAAGAGGAAGCAAAGAAAAACGGAAGGCGAAAACCGTGAATTTAAAAAATTGAATGGACCGAATCGTCCGCATTACTTCTAAACTTAGTAAACTAAGGAAAAGTAACATAGTTTTTTCGATGTTGGAAGAAGTAGTTTCATTTGAAAACAAACTATCCGTTTTTGGTCAAGATTACGAAACAGAAACTTTAATTCATTTTCTAAGCCTGCTAAAACATCGCCAAAATAATTCGGTAACTGATATTTACTCTTTCAAAACAACAATTTTAAACTTCTCTACTGAGGTTTCAAGAGTTCAAAAATAGAATAGCGAAGTTAGCCTTTTTTTTTTTTTTTCTTAAAAAAAAACTTCTTTAATATTGGCACTTTTGAAATGCAATTACTGGAGTTAAAAGACATAGAATTATGAAGCTCCAAATTTGAACTTAATGTTAATATGGAAAAACTGGAGAAAAACAAATATGATTTAAGTTCACAACAAAGAAGGAAGACATGATAAATACTCATGTCTCCCATATGATCAGTTAAACAAACTAGCATTTGCTGTTCTTTCACTCATTGGCTCTACATATTCATACGAACAACCATTTCCAGGCATGAATCTTATCATAAGTAAATTGAGAAATACTCTTATTGATGAGAACCCGAAATCCTGCTTGAAATTAAAACCAACGATCTACAAACTTGACTTATTCAAACTTTCCAAGGAATTGCGAGATCATTGCTCACATTACATGCATATTTTGTTTATATTTTTATTTTAATGTAAAAATACTTTTGTCAATAAATAAGATTATTATGATATCCGTGTTTATTTAATGTTAGTAGTTAGTGTAAAAACCAACATATTCATACGAAAAGGTTCTTTCAAAGAAATTTGGCTCTCGAAAGAAATCCTAATCGTTGTACTGCTGATCTTTGGCTGTTTTGACTATGCTTACCACTGCACTTAACCCTTAATAATCTCATTGTATTTTAAATAGCTCTTTGCTTTCCCGAAGCTTATTATTTAATCTTAGCAAATGTGTTTCGAAATTTCATAATCATTAGTTAAGCCTTCAATACCCTCTTTCCACAATAACCAAGCTTCATAACTTTTATTATCATAGGTCGTATTTCGCTCAAATCATTCAAAATTTTTTTTTCTCTGATTGAAATATTTCTTCGTCCTAGCTTACTCTAATTGCCTCTAATTCCTACATTCTTTTGAACTCTTTCGTAATCTAAGTCCTTATCTACAACAGTTATATGATTAATTCGTACCTTTTTGGAATTTGATTCTTCATCCTCCTTGCCTTGAATCACGAAATCGAAAATGCCATCACTACTTTTTTATAAATCCTGATGTTTCGTTTCCCTAGAATTTTCCAAATGTAATCCGAACCTATTAATACTTGAATTCTATTATGCGTACCACTATCCGCTAATTCTATTCCCTTATCAAAGTCAGCCTTTCGAATCCACTGAGAAGGAATTTGAACTTGCTTCAGTGTAATAGAATCACTCACTACTGCATTAATTTTTATCTTCTTATCGGGCTTGAATATATATTCGTATTTCTACGAAGACGTAAAGGAGCTCTTGCGTGTTTTCGCATCCAAAAGTGAAAATAACGAACCCTTTCCCATTAACCACTTTCAAATCCAATGAATCAAACACTTCTTGGAAGATGAATCATTTCGTTGACACTGAATCTAGCATAAATTGCAAAACCTTTCCACCCCTTTGCACCTTATTGTCATCGAAACTGTAAAAGAACATAAGTCAGAGGCTTAATTTTGTTATATTCATTGCATAGGAGCAAAATAGAGGTTTCAGAGATTGGCGCCTGTTTTGTCTGATCGAAGGAATCTATCTGCTTTTAGGTCCTTTGTTGCCGAGTCACAGCAACGAATTATGTAATCTCTGGACATCGCACAGTTTTTTCATATTTAAGGGCATAGAAACTTGAGCTTGGGTGCTTTTTTGAAAAATAAATAAAACACGAACTCCGAGCCATTTTCTTATGCAAAGTGGACAATCATGATTCATGTGACAAGAAGGTATACGAAAAGTGATGACATTTTGAATCTCCTTCCTAGGCTAACTAGGGAAATTTCGCTTTTGATTAAAATGAAATCGCTGTCAGTATTTAGAGGGATATTTACTCTGACTAGTTAAAAGTGAAACAACTTGTTTATGGGTAGAGTAGTTAGTCATTTCTTTCAGAATGCACATGAGATTTATTTTGATAACTTTGATGCGAACTTTTGTTTCCAAATGACGGCTCATTCACGTCAAAATTTTTAGAATCGCAAACAATATTTGTGCCTTTAGGCATTCTGCCTCTGTTTTTCAGAAAGTGAATAATTCATTAATATCGAATTTTTGTTATCAATTCCTTTTCTAGTGAATTCTCTGATATTAACTTTAATAAAATGAGCGATGATAAATGTCCATAAAACCGCTAGTAACATTTAAAGGATTTAGATTCCTTACTTGCAGTTTTATGTTATCATAACACTTCCTTAAAGCAACGTGTTTCCGGAATGTTTTAGGGCTTTTTTTTCCCCTACTTGTCTATAACGGCATTGGTACACCTAAGGCCAGAAGTGGTGGCCATTTTATTGTGGAGGCACCTAATAGGCGATCACCGTTACCTCCTATGAAGGGATAGACAATTTTACGTCGATGCCTTCTCCGGGATTCGAAACCGGGCCCTTCGGTATCGCAGTTAAGATCCTCTAACCACCATACCATCTAGGCGGCCGGGTTTTAAATTCAACAGTTTGTTCAAATGCGCATTAATTAGCAAGTCATCTCTGTCGAAACGATTTTTTTAGTAACCCAAAGCCTCCGTATGATTTTCACAAATAAATGATAATCCCCTTGTAACATTTAACGCTAAACCTCCCAAAGCGATTTTAAATGAAATAAACTTATCGATTGAGCAGAGACTTTCGTTTTGGTGTTCGAAATTATTAAACTGACTCCAGAATTCATGCCTAGAACAAGGATCACCATATAACTTAGTAATCGCTAACTTCGGAAATTTTAAAGTATTAACTTCAGAGAGTTTCTGCTTCACGGATACATATTCCTTATGAGAATGTTTAGTTTTAGTTTTATACTCGTCTTCTCTTATTTTTTCCTGAATTTCACATTTGAAACTTATAATAATATTTTTCTGATATTCCTGGGCGGGAATTACTTCTGCTTCTAACTCCTGTTCTGCAACTATGATCTTTTTAATCTCAGCATTACATTGTTTCAACAGCTGCGGTTTTTCAAATAACATTTCTAGGTATTTGTTTAAATGTTCTTCCATCGATTTCCTCTCTTCTATCTTCTAACAATGCAGAATATACTACTTTACTGGTCAATTTAGTAGTTTAACTAAGCGTCATTGTACGAAACTTTTTTTGTTTTATAGCCTCCATTTAAAATTAGATTCTTGTTAATTGTAATAATCAACAAATAATAAATTTTTTTACAGTTCAGAATTGGAAAAATGAAAAATGGCCTGCCTCGAATTGCATTTTGTTTAAAATACAAGCTTTGCGGTTTAAAGAACTGTTTTCTTTGGCCATAGTCTAAGTTCTAAGTCCACTGATTACAGAACAAAAAATTACAGTGATGCTACGTGTTGACTATCAATGCAGATAACTCCAAATAAAGATTTTATTATTTTTCTCTCCTACTCTGTTTACAGTTTGCGCAGTTTTTCCTGCCTACCAAAAAGATACATTCCATTAGATAAACTCATTAGCCATTTGCTTTCAATGTTGTCAGCGATAAGACGCCTGAGATCCTGGCGTCCCCGCTCCCTCCGAGTTCTACGCAATCGAAATGTTACGCGCGATGCACTTATCGAGCAAAAACCACCGCAAGAATAGGGAATCAAACACATCAACTTTCATCAAAATATATGTATCAAAACTGTTGGTTATAATACCAGAAGGATATTTTAAACTGTTTGTGCAAATGAAGTGGTCTGCCAGTGCATAAATTTCATGCTAATAGTTAATTATGCACGTCTTTGTAGAATTACATTTAGCAAGAAACACAAACCAACGAAAAGAGGTAAGTTTAGGAAGAATTTCCAATGAATGACCGACTTGTTTTATGTTACAAGCATAAGAAAAATTAAAACATGTATGAGACCAAGCTATTCCGCAGGGGAACGGAATCTAGAAAATTAGCAGTTTTACTTATATTATCCAATTCCTTTTTTTTTCAGCGAAGAAGTAGGCAAAAAATTTTACTCTTTCCTGCAATAAAGAATTATTGCGAGATGCATTTTTACTTGACAAGATTAAATTTTTTAAAAATCTTTTCATTAGTTCTTTTTGCAAGATTCATGTGACAAAAAATTACATGATCTTTCAGGGCTACTCTTTCCTTGTACCTCACTCTGAATTGTTAAATAAAACAGGCTAGTCACTGATGCTTAGCTTGCTTTATTACGCATGTTACATCTTGATGATAACCAGAAAGATAATCATTCATGTCACAAATGATTGCAATAAGAAATTCTTCTTTTCTTTTTTTCAGTCTGAATAATAAGAACTGAATAGTTCAAGTAAACTTTATCTCTTAGGTTATACCATCCAATCAACCACTGAGCGGCGAAGGATACAAAGGAATTGTTACTTTTCGATTCTGGAGGTTTGGTCACTGGATAACTGTTTACATTGATGATCTGTTGCCAACGAAGAAAAGGAAGCTTATTTTTTCTCGAAGCTCAGAGCCTAGAGAATTTTGGGTCTCATTACTTGAAAAAGCATACGCTAAGTAAGAGTTTTAAAATTTTATATTTAAGCTTAAAAAAACCGATTTTGTGACTAGTAAAAACAAATCTTCCAAGATTCTTAATTTTCTTCTTTATAAAATTAGGCACTCTAAGTAGAACTGCTTTCAAGTGAAAAACAGGTAGCCAAATACTAAAGTTTACAATTACAACCATCATATTTCAACCATACACGTTTACAGTTTCAATCAATGTAAATACAGATTAAATTATATTTTGCATTTGGATGCGTTGCTAAATTACTACTATTACTAATACTAAACTTCGCGGGCATAGCACTAAATATATTTGAAACATTTTAGTTCTTGCTGATATTCGCATGCAGGTTATAACTGTTATTAAATATTACTATATCATTATTATTATAATTAAAATTACTAAATGCCATATATTACAGCACAGAATTAAAATTACTAAATGTCATATATTACAGCACAGAATTAAAATTACTAAATATCATATATTACAGCACAGATACCGTTCCAAAACTTCACTTTTTTTCAGCACATACGTTATTCTTAAAATTTTCATTCATAGGTTATTCAACATCGTTATATACAGTCGAGTCTGCATAACATATTCTCAAGAATGTATGCGCATCCTTTTAGTCGTAATAATACGTACTACAATTCATGCATTCTACTGTTCTGGCTGTGAAATATTTCAATACGCGGATGGTTCTAATATATATTTTTAGGCATTACGGCTATGACGTATGCTCGACTTTACAAGATATCAAAGCTAGGTCAAGGGAGAGGCAAGGGAAGCATTTGCTTCAAGTGAATAACTAGAAGAAAATGCTATGAAAATTTAGAAATTCATCTTAAGAAAGAAACTATGATTAAAACGTTAATTTTAAACTTTCAAACATAAAGAAGCATAATTTTAAAATACCCTATTTCAAGTAATAAATTTTTTATTACTATTTACGATAATTTAAAAGGCGTACAGTCTTGAGATTGTTTTCATTCTCGGTGCAGCAGAGCGCCTAATTCCCATTAATTATTTTTCGTTGCCATCTTCTCGGTCAACAAGACGCCTCTTAATTTATGATTGATACAGCATAGTGATGATGTAGTAAGCAGCAAAATTATTCAGATATGAATTACAAACCGACTTCTTTTATTACTTTTCTACACTCAGGTATGATTAATACATATTTTTTATTGCATGGCGTCCACTAATTTCAAGAAAAGTTTAAGAAAAAACTCTTATAAATAATTGAGCCTTAGAATTAAAGATATTAATTTATTCTCAAAATTCTTAAGCTTTCAAAGTACAGCATTCTCCCCACCTTTTTTTTTTTAAAAATTAAACTTCATCCTGAAATTAAGAATGTATAGCGTTTAAAATTTTTCAAGGCCAGAAAACGTCAGAAATGAGCGATGCCCTTCCAGGAATCGAGATCGGGACCACCTGATTGCTATACTGTCGCGTTTGCAATGCCACAAAGGCACACGGAGAGAAAGGAAAGTTCCTTATAAATAGGTTGGCTGCATGGGCGTTTTCCCCATATGTAACGTGTATACGAGCCAGTTTCCTTTAGAAAGTCCTCCACGGAGGCATCTCTCCCCATTGGCACATAACGCTCAAGACCTTGCTGTAATCACATAATGAAACCAAACCTTTTTCCTTCGCGGTTGAACGTAGTGCTTTCGAGTTGGCGCTTTTGTTCACATTCAGCACACGTTACTTTGAAAGCTTCTTAGGAATGTATAAAAATCGGGCGATGCATAAACGTAAAATTTTTTACACCTATATCTGAAATAGATAAATAATTATTTTATAAGTCTGTTAACTTTTGCCTGAAAGTATAGAACCAAATTGGAAGAAAATTTAACGGAAAATAAATAAAATAAAATATTAGTGAAACATAATGGAACGAAAAAATATTTTACTGATGCAAACTAACTTTTTTATTATATGAATCATTAATAAAAATTAAGTAGTTTTCAAAGACAATACTGAAAACAATAAATGTCATTTATTACAAATGCTACATCCAAGATCAGACAGAACTCCTGCAGCCTGAGACATGCGTCCCGATTACCTTCAGTCATATAGTAGTTAAGCCGTCAACATTTCAGCAGTAATAATTTAACTTACGTCGTAAACAATATCATGTATCCTAAGAACATGTTTCCCTGTGGAAATTCGAACATAATTTTGTATTGAATTGACAGCTAATTTTACTCATCTCTGCGTCCAGTACTTCAAAATATTTCTTTTAAATTCAGCACAACATCTTCAAAATCTCTAGGACTTGCGCTGATATACAACATTTTGATATTTTGAGTGCATGTTTAAATATAAAAGTGCAAAATATAAAAGTGTTTCGCGCAAAATATGATCTGTTATTTGCACCATTAAAGTTAAATGCATCAAAATCCAGAATTATTAAGACATTGAATTGATTATCAAAATGTATAATCATTTGATTTGCTTAATACTGCAGTTTATTTATATAAAATATTAAGTTTTCTTATCATAAATGTCTTCGTCAATATTACATAAAATATTTAAATGCAACTCTAAAAATAAAAATCGCGCTTTCAGTCACACAATAAAGATTAGCCAGCCATTAATCCGATGAAATTTAACAGACTACTTCTTTGTCCAGTTCTTTCCAGATTAATCATTTTCTGCAGTTTCATTCATATACATGTAGTTTTACTGTTAATGTGTTTTAAATCTTTATGTAATTGTTATCTTCAATGTTATTAAAGCTGATTATTAACATCATTAAGTTTTCGCCTATGAAGAAGTATGAGCATGTATGTTCTTTAATATTCACGGTTCAATATTTTCTTGAGGAAAGAGAGAAAAACTTTAATCATTCATAAAATAAGTTTTTAAAACGTGAGGCTCTCCTTTGTACTAAGATATATTCAAAATAGCTTCAATTATTTTTAATTCTAATTCGACAAACGTTAATGTTAGTCTATTCAAATTTATCTTCAAATATTTTTCTCTAAGTTATTGCTTTCAGAATTTTTTCCATTAAGATATATTTTCAAAAATCACTTTCCTTTTATTCCTTATAACGAAAACACATTTGGATATATTTTAAAATTTTGAAACAAGTGAATATAAAACTCAGACTTATACTAAGTAGCCCACCAGCAGCCGAGCGATAAAGTTGCTGAACGCTAGTAGTTCGGTCCGAGGTTCTAATCCCGCGAACGAGCTGGCTGCATGGGCGTTTTCGTGGTTTTCCTAATGTGTAACGTGTATACGAACCAGATTCCCTTAGAAAGTCCTTCACGAAGGCATCCTTACCCTTAGGCAGACAGTCCCAGTGTGCTTTGCCATAATTAAATAAACCAAACCAAACTATACTAAGTAAATACAATTATGCATTGAATATAAATGAATGCAAAAATGTCGACGCAACAGGAAAAGTTTCATAACATTTTCAAAATCTAATCTAAATAGATTCAGATAATTCTTACAAATTTAAAATGAATTTCCTGCAACTTCAGTGTTTTCCTCTTAGGTTACATGGCTCATATGAAGCTCTGGAAGGAGGTCATGCCATGGATGCTCTAGTCGATCTCACAGGAGGCTTGGCTGAAATGTATGTTTTAGAAACAGCGCCACCTCATCTCTACAATTATTTATTACATGCTTCATCAAATGGCGCATTTATCACTTGTTCCAGGAAGGTAAATAAATTTTATTAATTTATGATCTCCATAGCATAAGAAAACTTCAGATTGTAGCATAGGAAAGAAAAGGAAGAACACACAAAGGTGAATGGCTCCCATTTTATTACTGGAATTCGTAACCCCTTGTTTATGGTTGGTGACCCAACATTGATATACACGATGATTAAACATAATGCCGACTTTGAGATCCGTGAGTGAACTATAAATATATTAATATTTCTATTAAGAATTTCAGGAAAAACAAATACCATCCCGAAAATAAAACCGGTCTTATATTAAATGTTTGCTTCGAAAGACGCATTAGAGCTTATTTTCGGGGGACTTCGTACTTTTTCATATACAACAATTTATGCGGTATTTATCTATAAATTGTAATGTAATATTGTAAATGTAGATTGTAGTACATTTGGACATAACCTATGGATTCAGGTATAAAATCCATAGGTTCATCATTTCATGCACAAAAATTGACATTTATTCAAATATAGCCGTCGCATCTTCTGGAACTTCGTCATAAAGCTCCAAACACAGTGCGGAAAAATTTTCTTCCGACTCCACTTCTTGTAGAACCATTATCTCTCATGTTTTGTAAGAGTGCTTGTTATCTACGTATCTTGCTCATAAATCATTGGTAATGCAGCTGTCAGTAATTTTTTTATCCCGTATGAATTCTT